TCCCCATCTAGACTTTTTTAAATCCAAAGGCAGGACCAATGTCTTTTGTTTCTACCTTCCACAGGCATCCTGTAAAGTTTTCGTACATGATATGTGTTTCATAAATATATTTAGATGAATGTAGGTATATTTAACTATAATAACTACATAGTAGACTAATATTCATTGATAAAATTCTTTACCATAAGAGTGGGTCAGTATTACAATCACGAAGGGCGAGATACTAGGCTTCTAGGATTGGAATCAGAGAGAGCACAGTGCAGATCTCAGGCCTATGAAAGTGCTATAATCTTTCTGAGCCTGTTTCCTCTTTTGCAGAGGGAAATAACACTTGCCTTTGCAGAGTCGTTGTGGGGATTAAGTAAGAGAGAGTTCACAGTTTTCTAGCAAAATGCTTCATACCTGTGGTTCTCTTTAAATAGTAGCAGCTTGTTCTTATTATATCTGAAAGTACCACATAGAATAATAGATGGAACTGCCATTGATATTTATCTTCAGAAGTAAAATAATAAACAACTGGTTCTCTCTGAGCAAAGCTGATGTTTTCTTTCTTTCTTTTTCTTTCTTTCTCTTCTCTTCATTTTTTTTTTTTTTCCAAGGTCTAGCATTTTCAGCTATAAGTAACAGATTGTCCTGAGGTTTGTATGGATTCCCTATGGAGCTGGGAGAGGACACAAAGGTGCCATTTACCAGTCCCAGGCTTTCACCCAGAGCAGTACAATCAGGGTTTAAGTTTATGTCTCACAAACCTCCTCTGTTCATGGCCATGATTATTGTGACTTTCCTCAGATTACTGAGGAGCAACAAGCACCCGGAATGAGGAATATGCATCCTACCTGAAATGAGAAACAGGAACTTCCAGCTTTTTGTACTGCAAATAGGAGATTCACTGGTCCAGGAATCAACCGGACACTGGGGCTTCCTATGCAGGTCTTAGGTAGCTGAGAGAGAAATAGTCAAAGAGCAGAAATCTGTTTGGTTTGTTTAGTTTTTTAAAACATTTACAGGTAAGTATCAGAGATTCTATACTATGGAGAAATTGTACAATTTCTGAATAAAAATAATAATTACAGTTTTATTTCTGAAGGCAAAAAATTGAAACAATTTTCTAAGAATAAAGTAGATAAAGGTTAAATAAACCATGATATATTCACCTAATAGAATGCTAAGCAGTCATTTAAAATGGAAATATGTCTAAGTATAGTATATGGAGTAAGATGGAAAAATGTAATAACTTATGAAAAATGCTTCTGAGTACATTTTAAGTAATAAGATAAAATTTGTTTAGATTCAGAGATCTCTCCCACTCACGAGTGAGGAAGAACCTTTCCTGGTCCTGCCTGTCTCTTACAATAGCCAATAAAAAGCTTTTATTTAGGTGGTGGGATTGTGATGTCATCAACAATCTAGCCAATCTCCCTGATGATTATTTGCATAGTTTACTCCTCCAAATCCAACAGAACCCAATTTCTTTTACAAAGAACATTGAGTGAAAATGAAAATCTCCAAAAGAAAGGGAAGAAAATTACATTAACAAAGGAATATTTGTAATCATGTTAGTATCAAAAAAAAAACAGCGATCAAAATTATTATGTCTCATCTCTCTAGAGAATACTTTCACCTTCTAAACAAAACACAGTATGTTTAAAATAGCTCTCTGAAAACTACCTACCCATTTGATGTTTAAAGTGTTTTTTTTAAGAATTCTTACAAAACAGGAAACAAGCCTCTTGCTATTGGCAAAAAGAAGCCGTTTATTTCTCAGAATT